AACTCATAGTACCTCTTAGATAGCGCAAGAACCTTTCTAGTGCATGCCAATGATCATCACCCGGGTTGGACATGAACCTACTCAGTTTGCTCACAGCAAAAGAGATATCTGATCTTGTAGCGCTAGCTAAGTACATGAGTGAACCGACAATTTGAGAGTATCTTAATTGATCTCTCGTTTCTTTCTTGTTCTTTCTGAGTGTCACGCTGGGATCATAAGGTGTTGGAGAAGGCTTGCTATCCATAAAACCGAATCGGTTCAAGACCTTCTCAACATAGTGCGATTGCGTTAATGTAATCCCACTCTCATCCTTAATAAGTTTGATGTTTAGAATTACATCGGCTTCTCCCAGATCTTTCATGTCAAAACTTTTTGATAGAAAAGATGACCTCATTAATTGCATTAATGTTTGTACCAAAGATCAGTATGTCGTCCACATACAAACATAATATGACACTATTGCTCCCACCATGGCGATAGTAAACACACCTATCAGCCTCGTTAATGACAAATCCTGCAGAAGTCAAAGTTCTTTCAAACTTCTCATGCCATTGCTTAGGTGCCTGTTTCAGACCATACAAAGATTTTAACAACTTGCACACCTTTCTCTCTTCACCCTTTACCACAAACCCGTCAGGCTGATCCATATAGATCTCCTCTTCCAACTCTCCATTGAGAAAAGCTGTCTTTACATCCATTTGATGAATGATAAGACCATAAGAGGCAGCCAAGGAAAGTAACACTCGAATGGTGGTCATTCTAGTAACGGGTGAATAGGTGTCAAAGTAATCTTCGCCTTCTTTCTGAGTGTAGCCCTTGGCCACTAGCCGCGCCTTGTACTTATCAATAGTACCATCAGGCTTTAGCTTCTTTTTGAACACCCACTTACAGCCCACAGGTTTACAACCATATGGTCTATCAGTTAGTTCCCAAGTTCCATTAGAAAGAATTGAGTCCATCTCATTATGAACAGCTTCTTTCCAATCATCTACATCCGGAGATGCATATGCTTCTGCAATCGTCTTGGGTGTGTCGTCCACAAGGTATACAATGAAATCATCACCAAAGGATTTTGCAATCCTTTGTCTCTTGTTCCTTCTAGGAACTTCATTGTTATCCTTCTCAAGGACTTCCTCATGTGATTGTTCGAAATATTCATCAGTTGTACTAGATTCAGGAATTATCTCAGAAGAAAATCTAGCAATGCTATGCATATCTTTCATAGGAAATATGTTCTCAAAAAATGTTGCATCACGAGATTCCATTATAGTATCAACATGCATATCAAGTACTTCAAATTTTACCACTAAAAACCTATAAGCAATGCTCCGTTGAGCATACCCTAGAAAGACACAATCCACTGTCTTTGGTCCAAGTTTGCGTTTCTTAGGAATAGGAATATTGACCTTTGCCAAACATCCCCAAGTGCGCAAATAAGAAAATGATGGTTTTCTCCCAACCCACTCCTCATAAGGGGTTTTCTCTTTATTATTGTTGGGAACTCTATTCAGGACGTGACATGAAGTCAATAGAGCCTCGCCCCACCATGCCTTAGATAAACCAGCAGTGTCTAACATGGCATTCACCAAGTCAGTCAATGTGCGTTTTTTCCTCTCGGCCACTCCATTTGATTGAGGTGAATAGGGAGGCGTCCTCTCATGAATAATACCATGTTCCTCACAAAATTCATCAAAAACTTTTGGAAAATACTCTCCACCACGATCGGACCTAAGACGCTTGATCTTTCTCTCTAGTTGATTTTCAACTTCAGCTTTATAGATTTTAAAGTAGTCTAATGATTCATCTTTAGTTTGCAACAAATAAACATAGCAAAATCTAGTCGCATCATCAATCAAAGTCATGCAATATCTCTTTCCACCTTTTGTCAACACACCATTCATCTCACAAAGATCAGAATGTATGAGTTCTAGAGGTGCCAAGTTTCTCTCCTCGGCAGCCTTATGAGGCTTTCGAGGTTGCTTAGATTGCACACAACTATGGCACTTAGAACCTTTGGCAACTGTAAAGTTCGGAATTAAACTCATGCTGGATAGCCGAGACATTAAACCAAAATTAATATGACATAAACGAGAGTGCCAAATACTTGCATCATCATTAACACTAGCACAAATTTGGTTTATTGACTTATTGCAAAAATCTGAAAGAGAAAAGCGGAACAAGCCTCCGCACTCATAGCCTTTTCCTATAAATAGTCCAAATCTTGACACGATTACTTTATTGGACTCTAAAAGTACCTTAAAACCATCTTGACATAGAAGGGAGCCGCTCACTAGATTCTTATTCATAGTAGGGACATGCTGCACGTTCCTTAGTTGCACGATCTTTCCCGAAGTAAACTTCAGATCCACCGTGCCAATGCCACGAACAGAAGCATGTGACCCATTCCCTATTAGGACGGAAGAATCCCTTGCGACCTGATAAGAAGTAAACAGGGAGATGTCAGCACACACATGAACGTTAGCACCCGAATCAATCCACCACGAAGATGATTGAAATACTAAAAGCACAATAGGTAAATTACCATACCCATCAGTATTGCTAGCGGTCACCATGTTGACAGTCTTGGAGCTTGTTTTCCCTCTGCGGTCTGCACGTTCAGGGCATTCCTTGGAAAAGTGTCCAGGCTTCCCACAGGCGTAGCACTCTAGCTCAGCCTTGTTGAACTTCTTCTTCTTGAAGGTAGTAGTCTTGGTAGGCTTGTTGGAAACATATTTGTTCTTCCCTTTGTTCTTGTTCTGTGGGTACCTCTGCACCATGTTAGCAGTAGGATGAACCTCACCTCTTTTTTCAGTGGTATCTTTAGCCCGAGCTTTTTCTTCAACATCAAGAGATGCAATCAGATTTTCAACTGATATCTCCTGTCTCTTATGCTTCAGAGTTGTGGCGAAATTCCTCCATGAAGGAGGCAACTTTGCAATCATGCACCCAACCACGAATTTGTCGGGTAGAACACATTTAAGGAGTTTAAGTTCCTTCACAATGCACTGTATCTCATGAGCTTGTTCAACCACAGAACGGTCATTCACCATCTTGTAGTCATGAAAACTCTTCATGATGTACAATTCACTGCCTGCATCTGTTGCACCGAATTTTGCATTCAGCGCATCTCACAGAATTTTTCCGTCGTTTATGTGCATGTACACATCACACAGACGGTCAGCAAGAACACTCAGAATGCATCCCACAAACATAGTATTGGCTTCCTGGAATTTTCTCCGATCTTCATCGGTCATTCCCTCTGGAGCACCAACACTAGCGTGGAAAACTTTCAGAGCAGTAAGCCAGAGCGTGGTCTTCACCTGCCACCTCTTAAAGTGCACACCGGTAAACTTATCCGGCCTCAGTGCATCAGCGAATCCAGCCATAGTTAACTCAGGAAATTGCCTATAATTAGGTTTTTGGATTGTTGGAATATTAGGCAAGTTCATGATTAATTCCAGTAAATAATTCATGACTAGAAAAGATACTAGCATGTAATAATCTAGCAAACTAGAAGAACAGCAAGACATGCATAACAGCGCTTTTATGGGTGCGACAGTGTTGATGACGATGTTGGACGTACTGATCGTTAGCTATTATGGGTGCGACAGTGTTGATGACGATGTTGGCAACGATCTGTTGCTGACGGCGATGAGTAGCACCGCCCGACTTGGACGGAAGACGACCCGTGATGATGAATTTGAGCAGTCGCGCACAGCGCTTCCCAAAAACCTAATTCGTCCTCTCCCGGTGCGGGATTGCAAAGACGAACGGTTCCGGAGACCTGCTCTCCCACACGCCGATGCACGCCGGCGTTTGGGATGGAGTAGACTACGATGGCGACGCCCGGCCCGGCCCGGCACGACACGACGAGGCAAGCGCGCGCGTGTGGTTTTCCCTTTCTCTTCTCACACACCACTTAGAGTGGTGGAGAAAACCCACTATATAAAGAGGTCCAACTCTTCTTCAACTTCCAAGGTGGGACTAAACTTAGCACCACCACTTGCCATTTTACACATGGGCTTTGAGATTTCAGAATTTGCTATGGGCCTAGCCCATTAATTCTAACACACCTCCAGCCTTGTTCCCATGGGGGAAGGCGTGACTGTTGCCTCCTCTGCTCGACGGCTCCCTTCTCCTTCCCGCCCGTCAGCGTCGCCACGAGTCGCGCCGCTGCCTTGTCCACTAGCGCACCGCCCTCTTCCTATCCGCCGGCCTCGCCGCTAGCTCCCCCGCCCCGTGTCCATGGAGGAAAATGCGGGCTGCTGCCTCCTTTGCCTGCGCGCTGCCGTTCGCCGTGGACGACATCTGAGGATGTGGGAAGTCGGCCTAGAGGTCTCGTCCGGTTCGCTGGATCTGACAAGAGATGGTTGATCTCGCCAGAGAGACCAAAAGATTTCTTGTATTGATAGCATTTTCTATTAGGAGATTCACCTAAAAACCTACCGCTAGTAGTGGATATCATTGTTTTTAAGTGTGTGCCCCCGAGCAGTGGATCGAACCTGTGGCATCCACATCCTGGGGTCCTCGACTGATGGTGGATATGAACATATATGACACTAGTGGTGTTGGGAGGGGCGTGGACAGTTCGAGAAGAGAGAGCTGGGTGAGCTGAGTGAGCGAGGACTGGGCTAGCTAGCTGGTGGCTTGTCCAGTTGGATGGTTGGCATCAACACTTTGTTGCGTGTGTTGGAGAGACCGGCGCTTCACACGGTCACCCGAAATGAAAATAAATTAGATAAGCGCTCAAGCTAGCGCTCGTGTGTTGTAAGTCTAGACTCCTACACCGGTGCTTCGTCATAATTTCTTTTTTTATTTTGACGTGAGGGTCCACGTAGGCACCCCTGCATTGGAGATGCCCTGAAGGCGCTCCCGCTCTCAATTCCCTCAAAGAAAAAAAAAGTTGTGCGCTCTCAAAATTCAAACAAAATCTTCCCCATTCTTCTCCGCCGCTCCGCTTTGTCGCTCTCCCCATTCCCCGTTCAGTTCCGCCGCCGGGGATGGTTCTGATCGAGCGCACGCCGTGCGCGGGGGCAGCCCCCTTCAGTCCGCTCCAGAGATCCACTCCTAGGGTTTCGCGGGAGGCGTCGCCGCCGTCCGACCCCATCCTCCCGTACCTCAGGTAGCGCCTTCGAGATCTACCTCTCTACCTGCAAATTTGCTTCTGCCTAGACCTGCTTGCTTACATCTTCGCGCGATTTCGCCTCCGCTGTGTGCGTGTGTGTATCTGAGGTTTCGCCTCGGTTTTGTGTATGGAGATGCGCTTCAATTTGCTCCTCCTAACTGCTTAGGTGCTTTTTCTTTTCGTACTTATATAGTTGGTTGAGTCGAGATACACTTATAGGTTGATTCCGGCTCAAATTTATTGCAGTGCGTAAGGTTTAAGCATATAATAGTGTGATTCTCGCCTCCGGTTTGTACTTATGAACTCATTTGTATGTATATGGGCTACCGCTCCCCGTTTCGGAGTTAAATTTATGGGCAATTTGAATAGATGGGTTTCTTAACTTACAATCGGTATTCATGCAGCTGATGTGCATATGCTTCAGTCATCGTTCAGTATCAAATTTTGTGCATATAAATGTGATGTGTTTTATCTGGTGACGTCCTGCCTGTGGACGCCTCTATGATGTGTGCTATTTTCTTATGTCCGATTCTGTGTTCATATTCAGGTCTATCAAGAAGGCCATTGATGAGATCAGGGCACACCCAGAATGTTATCATGCAGCACTTGAACAGCTCAAGATTTATGTCACAGAGTGCATTGATAAGTATGGGGACGATTACCAGTACTCCACTGACCCCCGGCTCCTGAAGATCTGGATCCTCTATGTAACTTAATTGCTTTTAAAATGCCAATGCTGATGTTATCTTTCTGCTTTTTTTTATCCTCATTCCTTAATTTCCTGATATTTTGCTATTTTAGGGGGATGCAGTTTCTGATTTTGACAAGGTGTATACACATTTGGAGGATAAAAGAATGTTCTTAGAGGATGCACTGCTCTATGAATCATATGCACTGTTTCTGTGTGCTCAGGGGAGAGCGCTCGAGGCTGATAAGGTCTATGGGATTGGTATTTCCAGGTTAGAGTCGATAATATTTTTCCTTCGTGTTCAGCTACAAAATGATGGTTATCATGTTGATGTGATGGCAAATTATAGTCTGTGGTTTAACCAGAAAAGCCGAGCCCCTTGATCATTTGAAGAAGATGCATATCAACTTCTTAAAACAATTGGAGGGTATTGTAGAAGAATCTGATGAGGATGCACAGGTATGAAAGCCACATGGCTGAGTCGAAATATTGCTATCATGTACTCCCTCCGTACCTAAATATATGGCGTTTTAGTAGGCTATATATTAAGCATTGCGCTTTCTGATTTTTGTATTGCTGTCAAATAGTCACGGGTTTCCTATCTAATTGTCATGTTGTATTCGGTAGTATTTGAGATATACAACTTTTTTTGAGACTGGAGGTGCGGGAAGAAGCAAGGAACTGGATTGATATTCGCCCCATGTTGTAGTTGAGATATGATGATGACTAGGCTGATAGATTTTCTCATTACTGTTCAGCAAACACATGTTGGAAAATATGCGTTCCACCTAGAAAAGATTACAATTGCATAATCATTGTTGTTCGTGCCTTACATCCCATATCTATGATAATTAATTGAATCTGAAATAGCTTTCTACAATGAAGAACTTTATCGAGTTCATATAGACTTTTATTTACTACATAAGAGAGATAATCGGGATACGCTACTCCCTCCGATCCATATTACTTGTCGCTGGTTTAGTACAAAGTTTTTCCTTATCGTGTAACTTTTTCCTTACGTGGGTTTAGCTACTGGTCTTCCATAATTCGATATGCTATGTTTTTCTGAAGATTATGATATAATTATAGAAGTCTTGTTCAGCATAGCTTAAGCTTTGGTCTCTCCCAGTGCTCCACCTTGGTACCGTCTCGTAGCCCTCCACATCAGATTTTTGTTTATGTGGCGCAGAATTAGTGAGAGAGAGGAAGAAGCCGTCTCTTATCTTATATACTACATATCTCTACACATAATCCAATACATAGATAATTTAATCTCATACTCATCCTCCAATTAGACTTGTGTAATCTTAATAAAAGTGGGAGCTACTATAATAAATACTTAGCCTATGTAAGATACAGTGCATTGGGATGATGAGAATCTAAGTAATAGAAATACAGGTAATAAGAGACGACCATTGGGACTGATGTTAGCGTCCTACAGGCTCCAGTTTCTAGCAATACAAACTAAAGGTGGAATGTAGTTTTTTCTTGAATACTGAATAGTTGGCCTTAACTCTTAATATGAGCTCCCTTCTAGAGGGAAGCTGAAACGGTAAAATCTTTAGGTGCAGTTTTGGGGTTTATAATGGTGTAGCTGCTTATTTGTTGCGATAACTCAAACTCAAGCTGCTTTGAGGATTATTTGATTATTTTCCCCATCGACCTTATAGGCTCAGCCACTAGTGGGCTAGCTTTCTGGAAAAACCTAATATTACTTGAGTTAGCCCTTTACTTCATTCGTATTCTGTCAACCCTGTACATCATATACAAGCACAGAAGGGTTTGTTTTGCAGTTTCTTATATGTTTTTTTGTGATTAAACAGTTACTTTCCCACAGAATGGTTACTTGGTTATAAAATGATAGGACATGAATATGATTTGTACATTCCAGTGCTTGTGATTTGTCTCCTTCCAGCATGTATTTACTTAGCCCATTTATGTATGATTGTGCCTGTTTGTCACTTGATAGTTCATAGTCGAGTGTAACTTGGAGGCTGACAGATTGGTATCTATTTTATTTATTTCTCTATGCTGGCTTGTATATATTCACAGCATCTATTTCCACTTGCAGCAATGATGATTAGCTTGAGTTTTATTTCTAAAACTTATTGAAAATGTTTTATCCTGTCATTTGTGGTAGACTATGCACCTTATTCTATCTAATACAATTTTCCCACTTTGTCCATTATTTTAAATAGCATCATTTCATCGATATGGTCACCTAGTGCCTAACATCCTGGTGGATAATTAATTGTTTGTCGTTCCAATTTTGTTTGTTCTTGCCTTGTAGCCCAAACCATCTAAAATACAAAAAAGGGAGTTTAGTGTGGTTGATCCATGGTCAGATTCTACCATGAGCAATTTGCTAACGAAAATTAATGGTGGCCTCAAGAAGTTAACAGTAAGTTAAATTTGCTTTGTGTGGTTCACTAGTGTTTTGCCTGGCTCTCATCTTTGTGTGCCACTGAAATCCTTGACAGGGCTATCATAAGAGCAACAAGATCTACTCAGGAAAGGTGCCCCTAACTTCCTCACATAATGCTTTAAAAAATAAAGTCGTCGAGTTAGGTATAAACTCTAGTTATTTTCTCTTACAACCTTTGACAATGTTGTACACTCCACAATAGTGTCCTAGTTTGGCTACTTGATGAGAAATGCTCTCATGTCTCAATCAGAACATAACTACATAATGTTCTCACAGAAATATCTCTCTGTTCTGCGATTTCGAGAAGCCGATTCATGTAACTGATATCAGAGTTTAATAATGATACCTTTTGTTGCACCAAGGTGGCAGGAAATATCACATCAAAGGTTCTTCTGGTACTGGTGCTTTTGCTAAATTATACAAAGCTAGTGTTGATGGTAACACGGAAGAAATAGTTGCTTTGAAGGTGAAACATGTTTCAGTTGTCTTAGTAAAACCTGCCTTTTACACTTGATTCTGATTTTAAACCCTAGTGCTTGTTTGCAGGTTCAAAAGCCTGCATTTCCTTGGGAATTTTACATGTACCGCCAGCTTGATATGCGGATATCTGATATTCAGGTGAATAATCTCTGTTCTAAGAATCACTCTCTAAAAATAATTTCTGTTAAGACCACCAGGTCGTTAGTAGTTGGTAAATTATAACGATGTTCACATGTCAAATATTTTTCTTTCCAGAGACCAAGCTATGGCTATGCACATGAAGTGCATGTCTTTGCTGACGTCAGTGTGCTAGTTTGCAATTTCCTGCCATATGGAACTCTTCTGGTAATTCCTTCGCATGTGAAGAAAGCTCTTTCAAAACCTGCTCGAAAGAACAACTTTATATATCAGGATTGTATCTGTTGTTGCCCAGATATCTCTCTAGCTAATCCATGTTGCTAAATGTGATAGCTTACAGTACATACCTTTTGCAGGACGCTATAAATTCCCATTTAGTTGTTGGTCAGCACATGGATGAAGTTTTGTGCATATATTACACTATAGAGATGTTGCACATACTTGAAACTCTACATAGTGTTGGCATAATCCATGGTGATTTCAAACCTGACAATATGCTTGTCTGCTATCCAAGGTAACTAACCAACTTACCACATTCGAGGAGTTACTCAACCTTTTTTGCGTGGTCAAACTATGTACCTTTTCATACTGCATCCATGGTGATTTCAAACCTGACAATATGCTTGTCTGCTATCCAAGGTAACTAACCAACTTACCACATTCGAGGAGTTACTCAACCTTTTTTGCGTGGTCAAACTATGTACCTTTTCATACTGCTGGTAAAAGTTCCAAAGAGTTGACTGCTCGCATCCTAGGGGAAGGCTCAAATGCCTCATCTAGAGGGGGGAGGGGTGAAAGGCAACTAAGAAAATTTATTCCTAATTCAACCTTGTCACATTATTGCTGAAATGTAAAGGTTCTCTTTTTTTGCGGGGGGAGATGTAAAGGTTCTCTATTTGGAATAACCTATATGGTGCAATCAACTTAGCAATTCTACGAACACAGGATGATAAGCTTGGCAAGCACAAAAAACAAGATATGAAGGTAAAGTAAATCAACCAAAGGACCTGGACACGAGGATTTGGTTCCTGGAGTGCGAATCCTTGGGGGTATTGTACGTCTTCGTTGGAGAGGCCTGGACACCAAGTCCCTTCAACAACAAAGACCTAACCTTCTTCTCCTTGAGCCTTGGGCAGTGTCTAAGGCTCTAAGCTCAACCATTAGTGGATGATCTTGAGGCGATCTCCAGCCATCACAAAGTCTTTTTGGCGAATCCACACGTTGGATGCCCCCAGGTGACTGCTGGTGCCTAGGAGTCTGCAAACTCCAAGGGAAATGGGGGTGGTGAATGCTTGGTACACGATGCTCTAGCTCTGTGTACATGTGAAATTTCAAAAATCTCTCAAATCTACTCTCGTCCTAAGGTATCCTTCAAATTCAAACTGTCTGGTGACATGGCACTCACACAGAATCCTGGCAACAAAACATTCGGAACTGCCTGGCCCAGTAACAATGCACCTCCGGATATTTTCGAGTCCGGTTACACATTCGGGTATACGTGCTCAGTGGCGGAGCCAGTATCCAGACAATGGGTGTACATATTTCCTTAAAAATCACCATTTTACTATAATTTTTAATTTATTTGATCCATATGTGTGTATGCATAGGTAGTCAACCTTCTTGCAGAGATGAATGTACATTTGTTGTCATGTGGGGCACGTCTTACAGACGTGGGCCGCGCGGCCAGGAGCAGCCGACGGCCGCATCAGGCAAGGCGCAGGCTGGACAGGAGTCCTGATCCGGGCACATTAGTTCCTAGACTAGTTTATTTCGTATAGGTTTCTAGTTTGTTATTAGCCCATGGGGCCTTTATATATCAGATAGTTAGCACCCTTTAGGGATAAGCAATAAAGTTATTTCCTTCTATCTTCCCCTCCCGCATCATAGAGCAGCCAGGCAAAAACCCTAGCGCTCCTATCCACCGCGACTACGAACTACGTAGTCGAGGTCCTGCTGTCTTGGGCACCGAGGCCCTTGACAACTTGGTATCAGGTTCCAGGCGATCCTCCTCCTCGTCCACGCTCCATCCGCCGGCCGCTTTCCCCCCTGTGTCCGCGCCCAGCTCCCCGACATCGCCACAATCCGCTGCCGCCTCGGTCACTTCCGGCATGGCAGAACCGACCACCGCGGATCTGGCTAAGATGATCGAGGCCTTGACGGCCACGGTGATGTCCCTGCAGTCGTCCGTCACCGCACTCCAGAAGGACAAGTCCTCCTCTTCGTCCAGCGCTGCCGCCGCCCATGATGGGCAGCACCACAATGATCGGCCGCCCAGGTTCCAGAAGATGGACTTCCCCAAGTTCGACGGCAAGTCTGATCCGCTCGCCTTCATCAACAGATGCGAGTCCTTCTTCCATCAACAACGGATCGCCGAGGAGGAGAAGGTGTGGATGGCGTCCTACAATCTCGAGGGTCCTGCCCAACTATGGTATATGCAGGTCCAGCGCGACGAGGGCACACCTCCGTGGCGCCGCTTCTCCGAGCTGCTCAATCTCTGCTTCGGGCCACCGCTGCGCGCTAACCCGCTGGGCGAACTAATGGCGTGCAAACGCACGACGTCCGTCGTCGACTTCCAGGAGCGGTTTGAGGCACTCCTTCCCCGGGCAGGCACCTTATCCGAGACACAGAAAGTGTAGATCTTCACCGCGGGACTCCAGCCACCCCTCAGCCTCGACGTGGAGATCCATAACCCACAGTCCCTCGCCGTCGCCATGAGCCTCGCCCGCAAATTGGAGCTGCGCGACCAGTGCGCGCTTTCCGCCGCGCCACCGGTGCGTTTTCCACAGAAGGGCATCCTGCCGACACCAGGACCACGCCTCGCGCCCCCCGCTCCGGCCCCACCAGCCGCACCTCAGCAGGGCCACAATCTGCCGGACGGACGCCCAATCAAGCGTCTCTCCCAGACAGAGATGGAGGAACGCCGTCGCCTGGGCCTTTGCTTCAACTGTAACGAGAAGTTTGGCAGGGGCCACAACCGCGTGTGCCAGCGCATCTTTCTCCTCGACTTAGCGCCGGACGACGACGACGACGACGCGGCCTCCGCCACTGAGGATGCATCGCGGGCCGACCCTCAAATCTCGCTCCACGCGATCGCCGGCGTGCGCACGAGTGAAACCATGCAGATGCAGATTACTCTCGGAGGTGTCTCCCTCCTCGCCCTGATCGATTCAGGCTCCACCCACAACTTCATCGCCGAAGAGGCGGCCGCTCGTGCTACGTTACCGCCCCCCACCACAGAGAAGATGCGCGTCACGGTGGCCAACGGCGAGCGCGTTCCGTGCCAGGGCGCGTACCGCGTCGTGCCCTTCCGCATCGGCCACGAGGAGTTCGCGGAGGATTTCCTCGCCTTGCCGCTCGCGGGCTACGACATCGTCCTGGGCACGCAGTGGCTGGCGTCGCTCGGACCGATCCTGTGGGATTTCCGAGCCCTCTCCATGACATTCTGGCGGCGGGGCCATCGGGTGTGCTGGCACGGCATTGCAGGACCGGACGGGCCAGCCCTAAAATCATGCAGCGGCCGCGACTTCCTGGACGCCATCATCACCGAGTTCGACGGCATCTTCGCCGACCCCTCCGGCGTGCCACCGCCCCGCAGCCGCGATCACGGCATCGCCCTGCTACCTGGTTCCGCCCCGGTGGCCGTCCGTCCGTATCGATACCCGGCCGCGCACAAGGACGAGCTGGAGCGTCAGTGCGCCGCCATGCTCGCCCAAGGTATCATCCGTGCGAGTTGTTCCGCATTCTCGTCCCCGGTACTGCTGGTCCGCAAGGCCGACGGGTCCTGGCGCTTCTGCATCGATTATCGCGCCCTGAACGCCATTACTGTCAAGAATGCGTTCCCGATTCCGGTGGTGGACGAACTCCTCGACGAGCTACGGCACGCTCGTTTCTTCACCAAGCTCGATTTACGTTCCGGCTACCACCAGGTGCGGATGCGTGCGGAGGACATCCCGAAGACAGCTTTCCGTACTCATGACGGCCTCTACGAGTTTCTGGTGATGCCGTTCGGACTCTGCAACGCGCCGGCCACGTTCCAGGCCCTCATGAATGATCTGCTGCGGCCATACCTGCGCCGTTTTGTTCTCGTCTTCTTTGACGACATCCTCATTTTCAGCGAGACATGGGCTGACCATCTCCGACATGTGCGCACCGTCTTCACGGTCCTGCACCAGCACCGGCTCTTCGTCAAGCGCTCCAAATGCGCGTTCGCCGTTGAATCAATCGCATACCTGGGTCACACCATCTCCGCTGCAGGCGTGGCCATGGATCCGGAAAAGGTGCAGGCAGTGGCGGACTGGCCGCAACCACGCTCGGCGCGCGCGGTTCGGGGCTTTCTCGGCCTTGCGGGGTACTACCGCAAGTTTGTCAAGGACTTTGGCGTGGTTGCCGCACCCCTGACGGCCCTCCTTCGCAAGGATGGTTTCTCTTGGTCGCCGGAGGCGGCAGCAGCTTTTACCACCCTCAAGACGGCAATCACCACGGCTCCCGTCCTCGCGTTACCGGATTTTACACGGCCGTTCATCGTCGAGTGTGACGCATCGACGTACGGTTTCGGGGCCGTCCTTCTTCAGGACCACCACCCGGTGGCTTTCTTTAGCCGGCCAGCCGCGCCACGTCACCGTTCCCTGGCAGCGTATGAACGGGAACTCATCGGCCTGGTGCTCGCAATTCGCCATTGGAGGCCGTACCTATGGGGGCGTCAGTTTGTGGTAAAAACGGATCATTACAGCCTCAAATTTCTGCTTGACCAGCGTTTGGCCACCATCCCGCAGCATCATTGGGTTGGCAAACTCCTGGGATTCGACTTTACGGTGGAGTACAAGGCAGGTAGTACCAACACGGTGGCGGATGCACTTTCCCGCCGTGACACGGAGGAGACGACGATCATGGCGGTCTCAGGGCCTCGTTTCGACTTCATCAATCGCCTCCGGCAAGCGACATCCACTGATCCGGCGCTCGTCGCACTGCGGGAGGATATCACGGCAGGTGCGCGGCAACAGCCTTGGGCGCTCTCCGACGGCCTCGTTACTTTCAACGGCCGCCTCTACATTCCGCCGTCATCCCCGCTACTCCAGGAGATTCTCAGTGCCGTGCACGATGATGGGCATGAAGGCGTCCTGCGCACATTGCATCGTCTCCGCCGCGATTTCCACGCACCTAACCTTCGCAAGACGGTGCAGGAGTACATCCGCACTTGCGGTACTTGCCAGCGGTACAAGTCCGAGCACTTGCACCCCGCTGGGCTGCTACTGCCACTGCCGGTACCCACGGGCGTGTGGACTGACATCGGCATCGACTTCGTGGAAGCGCTTCCTCGAGTAGGCGGGAAGTCTGTCATCCTCACCGTGGTGGATCGCTTCAGCAAGTATTGCCATTTTGTGGCGTTAGCCCACCCATACACGGCAGAGTCAGTGGCACAGGTGTTCTTCGCTGAGGTTGTTCGTCTCCATGGCGTGCCGCAGTCCATGGTCTCTGACCGCGACCCCGTCTTCACCTCCTTTTTTTGGCGAGAGCTCATGCGCCTCACGGGGACAAAGCTGCACATGACGTCAGCATTTCACCCGCAGTCGGATGGTCAAACGGAGGCTGCTAACAAGATCATTGTGATGTATTTACGGTGTCTTACCGGGGATCGTCCCAAGCAGTGGCTCCGGTGGCTTCCCTGGGCTGAGTACATATACAACACCGCCTACCAGACAGCAACCCAAGAGACTCCGTTCAAGCTTGTGTATGGCCGTGACCCTCCCACTATTCGCTCTTACGAGCCCGGCGACACACGGGTGGCTGCAGTGGCCAGGAGCATGGCTGAGCGCGACGAACTTATCGAGGACGTCCGCTATCGTCTACAACAGGCACAGGCGGTCTATAAGTCCTACTACGACAGACGTCATCGGGACATTCGGCATGAGGTGGGCGATTGGGTTTGGCTTCGCCTTCGACAGCGCGCCGCGTCCTCTCTCAACTTGCCAACCAGGGGCAAGCTCAAGCCACGATTCTATGGGCCGTACCGCATTTCAGAAGTGATCAACGACGTGGCATACCGTCTTGAGCTTCCGGCACGCTCGCGCCTCCATGACGTGTTCCACGTGGGCCTCCTCAAGAAGTTCTTCGGCATTCCTCCAACTACACCGCCGGGATTGCCTTCGATCCACAACGGGGCGGCTGTTCCAGAACCAGAGCGCGTGACTCGTGCGCGCCTAGCACGCGGCGTTCGCCAGCTACTCGTCCACTGGAAGGGTGAAGCAGCTTCGTCAGCTACATGGGAGGATCTTGACAGTTTCGTCGAGCGCTACCCCGCTTTTCAGCTCGAGGACGAGCTGCTCGTCGAGGGGGGGAGAGATGTCATGTGGGGCACGTCTTACAGACGTGGGCCGCGCGGCCAGGAGCAGCCGACGGCCGCATCAGGCAAGGCGCAGGCTGGACAGGAGTCCTGATCCGGGCACATTAGTTCCTAGACTAGTTTATTTCGTATAGGTTTCTAGTTTGTTATTAGCCCATGGGGCCTTTATATATCAGATAGTTAGCACCCTTTAGGGATAAGCAATAAAGTTATTTCCTTCTATCTTCCCCTCCCGCATCATAGAGCAGCCAGGCAAAAACCCTAGCGCTCCTATCCACCGCGACTACGAACTACGTAGTCGAGGTCCTGCTGTCTTGGGCACCGAGGCCCTTGACATTTGTACACCCAAGTACCTATCTAGCTCCGCCAATATACGTGCTAATACCCCACATATTCTGAGCCGGCAATTGGGCGACCCTGAAGAGCGCCTGGAAAATCTTTGGCCTCCTTGCTCACTAGCTACTGCGTCTGGACATTCCTGCCTCCTGGCCTGGATTATCACCCAAGGATGGTTGTGTGAGGCTTTGGGCCTTTGTAGCGACAAAGGACCTTCTTTTCACTTTGTGGGGCCTCAAGACCTGCTCATGTACTTGGCACACATATTAGCTCCTTAATTACCAAAAATCCACTTAGGGCGTGTAGATGTCCTTTCAATTGGATGACTTGCATTTCTTGACGGAGATAGTATATATTTCAGGCAGATCCTGTATTCTTGTTTTTGTGGGTGATGGTATCCCGTGTTCACAGAACGGAGTTCTCCCAGCCTGTTTGAATCTGTCACAGTACGAAAGATTGCACTGATCAACCACCTGTAGTGTGCACAAGTGACTAGAGACATCTAATAGTCAGGTTTTCCGAGTTTGTCAAATCGTTTTAAAACACCTTAGGTGATGTTGTGACTTTTCTGTAAATGTGTGTTCCGAGCTTACAAATGTCTCCTAACTGATTAGAATTATGCCAGATGTTATTGCATCTAAGAACCATAACTTTGTTTGGAAATATTTGAAATGGTTGGTCATAAGAGCAAGCATGAAGGTAGATAAGAGGTCGATTTGTTGGCCCCAGATGTTGGGTTTGGTGGGTGCAAAGATCTAGGATGATTCCCGACTCTGTTTATTTTACTTAAAAGTGTGTTTGGAATCTGTATTTTCACGCTCCATGCTTTTGCTGAGACGTTGATGTTCTGATATTTTGTCTTTCTTATTGTTGAACATTTGATTGTACGGATTCTGTTTTGGTTATTAGAAGATCATATCAAACACCATCACTGAAGCTGGTTCTTGTTTTAAGAATAATAAAAATCTAATATGTGTTAAAGCTCACCCAGACCATTTCATGCGTGCTCTTTGAAGAAAGTAAACATGCATTGCTTGCTTCTCAACTTGTTTTCCCGAAGTTGCTAGTTCAGTTTGTAGCACTTGTCAACTCGTTTAAATTTAACATGAGTTTTCCTCTCACCTGTGGCCCATAAAGTGAAGAGATCACAGACGATACCTTCAGGAGCGAAACGAGAAGCGGGCAGAATCAGGTTAGCATTTGAATTCAAAGTATCTTGATTTAGAGGTATGTGAAGGCTTTGTGTTGCTTATTATGAAACAACGTCCATTCCAGGGGCTGTGTCTTATTGACTGGGGCCGTGGCATTGATGTGAATCTCTTCCCAGCCGGCACGGAGTTCCTTGGGGATTGTGGAACCTCAGGGTTCAGTTGTATCGAAATGCAAGAAGAGAGAAGCTGGACATATCAAGTCTGTACCCTTCAAAGTTACTCACAACCTTACTAGCCATCATCACAGAAAGGAACCATGTGCAACATCGATTTGGTTTCCTGTCTTGCAGGTTGACACTTTTGGTCTGTGCGTGGTTGCACACATGATGCTGCACGGGGAAGAGATGAGCATCGTTAAGGTGGCCGGAACAGGTGGAAGCTACATGTACCAACCGAAATTGTCATTTAAAAGGTTGTGCTGCCGCGAGCTCTTGATTTTGCTTGCAAAAGTGATGCCCAGAGTGAGAAGATAACCCCTCCACCTGTTTGTGCTCTGATGAACAGGTACTGGAACGTTGCGCTGTGGAAGCAGCTCTTCACCACGCTGCTGAACCCGGGCTCCAACGGGAACCACGTAGGCGACCTCCGGAGCCTCCGGAGATCGTTCCAGGATTACATGTGCAGCAACTATCAGCTGCTGGTCAAGCTGAACCAGCTGCTGACAAAGCAGAAGGCCTCCCTGTGCTCATCCTGAGGTGTGCATTTCGTCGCCAGAATGCCTCTGCGATATTTATCTACTCTTCTACCTCCCTATGTATGTATCTTGCCACATCTCGTGGCCTTGTTGTATCATCTGAAAATGAAAATACACGCCCGTGTCATGGTCTAACTAGTACTACTGCGCGTCACACTCAAGATGTGTCCCGGTGAGAACCAAATAGTTACCGTCCTAGATATGCGTACAGGTAGGACAAACGAGATGAGACGCAACGGATGAGTGGTTGCTGTCACGAACCAACAGTGCCCAACCAAAGTCAAAGGGCCTCTTTGGCTAGGCTAATGGGGCTAATCAGTCCTGTTAGACATGTCACGTTTTCGCTAGGACCATCAACGTTCGCTCAACGGTATTGTCACTTTCATCTTGTGGCGAGGACATGGGCTGCCCACCCATCTGATCTGAGCGATATATTTGAGCCAACGCTTCACTGTGCGTGTCTTGGCGTATGGCCAGCCACTGGGGCTGTGTGTCCTCGCGGCGTTCGTGTCGATGTCACCGATCTCTTAGATGGAGACGGGGGGAGATAGAGATGTGCATGTATGTCTTGTTGTTATTGGACGATGGCTCGATCCGTGGTGCAGTTTTGCCCGCTCATAGCACATAGCCATAGCATAATGTTTGGGCGCATCGCATGCAGGATCTGAGTGAGTGCCCTGGTCCCTGCCTGCGCTTGCTGCTGCCCACGGTGCAGCGTTCTGGGGCGACATAATATCCAGCGTTTGTCAGGTCGAGGCCCTGGATTTGGTGCAGGGATCTGTCTTGGGTCTTGCACTATCTTGGCCGGTTTCCAACTGCCATGCACCTAGCTTTGGTCCTCGGCGTCAGACTTGTAAGCAGACCTACTTGGACCCGGTTATGGCATGCCTGTACCTGTATATACAACAAGATCGATGTAAGATGGACCCGGACTAGTACTAGGTTTGAACTACTTGAGAGTTTACAGCAATTTTTCAGTATTTTTGGCAATCAATTTAATAGCACATTTCAGATTGTTACATGCAAACGGTTCCATTATAGTGTTATGAAGACCATTTTAACACTAATATCGTTTTTCAGGAACCGGATACTTGCTGAGCAACCCAAATTTGATAAAGACGAAGGAATCATAGTGCAAATTGTTATCATCTTTTACTTACACATGTTAGTCTTCCATCGTTATGAGGGGGGCCGTTGAAATTTTTGTAGAAACATAGTACAAACGCATACACCCATAAACACACACCCTTATAAATAGCTGGAGGGTGGGGAGGTCACCTTATATAGCCGAAACCTTTTTCTTTACAAACACGGTGTAAACGAGTACACTCAACAACACATACTAGCACTTAGCTTACAAATGCACATCCTATCTCTTTGAGCATATTTGATAGATGGAACCGGTAAATCTTCACACTGTCGAGCTTAACTATGGGCAACCTTCTTGTTGTAAAAGATATTAACATCCGCCGGACAACAACAAAGGATATTGCGCCATTTGACCCATTACCAAAGGTCGGATGTTGAGCACGGCATGATCCTAGTTTTTTTTAATAACATAGTACAGATGCAAACGCTCATACACATACACATACACTCATTCCTATGAATGCACACACGCATGCCCTATCCCAGAAGCCTTTGTAGTCTAGGACTTGAGGCTTGACCGTAGTCGGTCAGCTAGGGTATGACTCTTAGCACGAGTTCAAGTCGATACTTGAAATTTGAATTCGCCCCTTCTCCAGCCAGGTTCTTTGGCAGCAAGAGGCGGTCAACCTGGCCGATAATTACTTCACTGATTAACTCCAGCATTACCAGGCATTAGCAGGCATAATAATGCGCATGCGTGAAGAGACCGGCCCTACCGCAACTAATAATTAGATCCCTGGTCCCAGCCATACATTTTCTTGTACCACAGGATCGGCCATGCATGGATCGGCGGTACCATCACCATATGGCGATGCATGATGAGTAGCTGAGCACGCTGAGCATATGGCGAAACCGAAACCCGTACAAAGTGCGGTGCGGTGGATGGAGCCAAGACTTATTTACCATGCATGGCGCGCGTCCGTAAGGCAGCAGATCTATCTGTCTGGCGATGCTCACCTTCCAGTGCATTGCATGCAGTTAGCTAGCGATCTGACGGGAAGGTGGCCATGGCCCCTCATGACGACCTGTCGCTCTCCTCCCTGTTCCTGTTCGGACCTCTGAAACCTCACCGGCCTTGTGGAGGTTCTGATCGACGGTGGAGGGGAGGTTTTGGCCGGATCCAAAACATGGCTGTTGGCTGGGCTGGCCCCTGATGATGGACGGACGGACGGACGGACTGACTGACTGACGCTATGCAGCTACCAACCTACCGACCTACCTACCTACCGACCTGTATCTGTCTCTCTACTTGCACGCCCCCATGGCCATGGACCGGCCTGTCGTTGACATTGTGATCCATCGGCCATGCACGCGTGGTCCTAAGGCCTGCGCGGTGGCCGGCCGGTCAGTGCCACCACTGTGTGTTTGTGCGCTAGCCGCGAGGGCTAGGGCTAGGATGCTCTGGCATGTCCCGTGCAGTTGCACCGAACCGATCGAATTACTGGTCTAGTGCAGTGGCTGAGCCGGGAATTTACACTTACGCACGTAGGCGTGGCCCAGTCAGTTAGAGACGTGAGAGTTGCAGTTTTTAGCCGGTTATCGTTGAGGACAAAGCCTCTTCAAATGTAGAGTAGCATGGTCAAATGCCTCGCCTCGCCGGAGGTCCAAGTGGTGTCCCCCGCTAGCTGGGAGTCCGGGACTGACTGACCGGGAGCTTTATTTGCACCGTCCGACCTCCGACGGATCGGCAAGCAAGAGCCAAGAGGCCATGGCCAACCTGTCTCTGAGTCTCTGCCCATCCTGCGCCAACCAACCGGCCCGGCCGGCAATCATCGTCGTGGTGCTTGGCGAGACGTCGCTCCATCGATCATGTCATGTGGCCCTGCGCTACTCAACGTGGATGCGTACTACGTCCTCGCTCGACCTGTCCTTCTATCTCTTATCGAGACCCTCATGTAATGTAAGCCCAGCCTTCCTCCGCCGGCCTTGTGGATGCGCGGCCGCCCGTTTCGCCTGGATAGGATACCGCCATTATTTAGTGACGCCGACTCCTCCTTCCTGCGCGCGTCTGCGTGATCAATCGCGAATTCAGACGCTACATACAGCACGTACTAGTACTTTCACAGTAGTACGTCCAGGCTAGCTCCTCCTCCTGTTGGTTATACACCTGCATCTGCATGCATCATTTCAGCTTCAGTTTCGTGGACAGAGACTTGAGGTACGCCCAAGTCCCAACCACAGCGATTCTTAATTTGATGGAAACAGTTAACAGATTGCTGGCTGCAAAAGCCGGTTGGAGGGCTACTCAACTGCTCGAATTGTCCATCTCCTGAGACTTGATTCATCAAGGTGGGTGGAGCATCAACGCTTTTGCGTTAATTTGCGTCCGTCGTCCAAGGGCCTGGGCGTTACGCATATTAATTGCTTCTTGCCTCTCAGGTCAAACACTCGATCCTGCTCCTGTACTAGTACTACGTACAACCAGGCAGAGCGTCGCCAAGTTTCAATGGAGTCTAATCTAATCATGTAGTAAGGCGAGTAGGATTTCTCCAAGAGTTATGGGATGCTACGCCCTCGTCAATATGAACATGAAGGCAACGGTGAAACCGGCTGCGAACTGGGCAGACTGTTTGACCTAGTATACAACATTTTTCATTTGGGCATCATGTTAAAATCCGTTGACGTACCTGAAAAACAAGACGGAAAGAAATCAAGAATCACACCACATGGTCACTGTGCTAATAGTGCCCATAAAAACTCCTACTCTAATGTAATAATAGCCTAATTAGGCTGAATTTTCCCTCTGAAAGCGGCTAACCAAAGTGAGTTGGGCTGAATCTCTGAACTTGTTGAGTCTGCGCTTGTGACTTGGTGCCTTGTGGATCAGTATTCGCCGAAAACAACAAGAAGAAAAGATGATGAACCATGTCAGTTGTGTGGCCGCCACGTTGGATTCCACCGGTGGTTGCGTTGCATGCATGGCAGGGCATGACCCAGGCAGCCATGGACGTACGCCATCGATCATGAGACGGGACTGCTACTAGGTAAGATAGCTACTCCACGGATGCCGACCGCGCGCAGCCGACATTCGTTTGTCGATCGAGAGCCCCCCCACCCCCACCCCCAGCCAACCAACGCATCGCTCGATCGGATCTCTGATGGATGGATGGATCGATCGGGAATCGGATGCCTTCTCTTCTTTCCATACATACCTCTCCCCCCTCCACAAGCCAAGAATATATTTCCCTCTCTCCCCCATAGCCAGCCATAGGGGCCGCCGGGTACGTGCGTGCGTGCGTGCCTACTCTACGTACGTCGTTAACAAAGCAAAACGTACGTTTCCTTCTTTTCATGGCCACCATCGATCTGACCTCCCTAGCTCCATCGCCAATCTCAACCAAAACTACTAACTAGTCACCATCGATCTGACCTCCCTAGCTCCATCGCCAATCTCAACCAAACGTCGGTGCATGCTTTTGGACGAAACAAACCAAGAGCTAGCTAGTACTGCTACGTACTACTAGCTTCTTGCAAATCATCCCGTCTTTTCATCTATGGAATATATTCGGATTGCAACTTACGTACATGCATGTACAGGCCTTGGCAACTTCCATGCATTCCCTAGATTATTCTCATTCTCAGCAGAATAAAGTTTAACCCTAGCTACAAGTAGTAAAGTGAGATTTTTGGTCAGTGGCCATTTTCATATTCCCTCCGGTCCTTTTTACTCTGCACATTGGATTTGCCAAAAGTCAAACTTTGCTAAGTTTGACCAAATTTATATTAGAAATTATTAGCATCTATAATATCTAATAAATATAATATAAAAATATATTCTAAGATGAATCTAATGATATTGATGTTGTTATGTGAATGTCTATAATCTTTTATATAAACTTGGTCAAAGTTGG